ATTAGTAAGTTCCTAAAATGGGAGTGGCCAGATGGGGGCCTATTGCACTCCCCCCCCCAAGACCACACAAGGAGCTGTACCTTTCTTTCACTGCCACAAACATACTATCTCTATGCTGCTAATGTTTTAGCCACAATTGATGATAAATACCTAATGATTCAGTTAGAAAACATGGTAGATACAGAGTGTGATTCTCTACTTCTGGTGATAAGGGGCGTGTTCCCTGTACACCATGTTTCTCAGTAGAATTGCTGGCATTTTTATAGCAATGGTAGAAACTTTAGTAGAAGGGGCCAAGGGCATGAGTGTAGTCTGGTGGCTGTGTGATGCCCACCCATCATAAAATGGAAAGCGAAATTGTTGTTATTGTTGTTGTCGTTATTGTTGTGTGCCAACATAAGACTCCTTATGGTGACCCTATGAATGAGCAAGCTGGGTACTCATTTTACTGACCTCGGAAGGATAGAAGTCTGAGTCAACCTTGAGCCAGCTATCTGGGATTGAACCCCAGGTCATGAGCACAGTTTGGACTGCAGTATAATAGTTTGACCACTGCACCACGAGGTTCCTAACATTAAAAATGGTACATGGTACCAATGAAGCAAACATTATAGTTGTATAGTTCTTCTGTAGTAATGATTTTCATGTTCGACTGCAGTCCTGCGTTGGCACTTTCTTCTTACACTTTCATTTCAGGTAATTGCTGTACTATTAAGATGGTATTGTTCACATATCTTAAATTACGGATGTTTCTTCCACCAATTTTCACTCCTCCTTCATTTGAATCAAATCTTGATTTTCATATGACATGTTCCGAGTGTAGATTGAACAGATAAGGGGATAAAATGCACCCTTGTCTAACACCTTTGCCTCCATCTTCTGTGATAACAGTAGCTTCTTGCCCACAGTACAAGTTGTGTATCAGGACTATCAAGTTCTAAGACACATTCATTTCTTTCAGAACAACTCATAGTTTCTTCACAATCTCACATAGTCAAAGGCTTTGTTGTAGTTTATAAAGCATAGACTGATCTTCTAAAAGCAAATTAGTTTTCAAAACAACTTGTTTAATTTATATATTGAAAGTATTACTATTAAGTGTATTTTAGATTAATTTAAAATACTGTGGTGCATTGCATCATTCCTGTTCTGTTAGATAGTTGCTACTGTCATTAAGAGAAATTCTGCTTCTAAATATGTGAATGATTGAAATTATGAATTTCTTCATAGATACTACTTTGAGCATTACAAGTACAATCTAGGGACCAGACTACATATTCTCTGGGAGACTACATCACCTAACATTTCTTTTTTCACAAAATGTATCCAAGGATGCAGTCAACTTGACTGGATGAGAACTGCATTAGAGAAAGTGTTTAACCATGCTCCTCTTGGCCAGTTTTCCAATCGAAAAGCATCCCCCAGATGCTATTTGACAGTATAGGTACTAGATAAAACACATTAGGGAGAGAAGAAAAGGGTTTTGTTTTTAAAGTACAACAGAAAAATTAGTCAAAATAAGTCATTTTTAAATTATCTAGAATGTTTGTTTGTTTAATAACATGATAAAGGATAAGTGATCCACATGGTCATGGAAGAGCATTGTTTGATGTGCTGTATATTTTCTATATCCTTCACTTCTCATCACTGTAATCATGCTTCAATTGTTTCTATGGGGGATGTTCTATCTTTGCTTCCCCACCTCTCCATAGGGGTCTCTGAGATCTCTGTACATGGCCACCATCATTCTTGCTTTCATTCTTGGTTTCCTTCTCTTCAAGAACACACATGCTCTAAAGCAGAGCATTCTCTCCCTCCTCAGAGTGTTTATCTTCAGGTACTACTCTTAATTCTGCATTGGTGGTACTTTTTTGCCTCAGGTTCCATACAAGCAGCGATGAACTGCTACTCGTTCCTTTCACATTCTCCTCTTCTTGTTCCCACACCACTTTCCCCCTCTTTGATCTGATATAAAGCCCCAGTTTCCTCTCTCACTATTCTCTTTCATTTGTTCCTCCCATTCCATCCATTACCAGATCATGTTGCTTCTCCCATTTAGTTCTTGAATTGTTTTGTCCTGATATCTCTCCTCTCCTCATGATAAATTACAAGGGTGAGGACAGCATGCAGCATAGGCAGCTCACAACCTGAGCAGGATGTTGTTTGAGCCCATCTGCTTGGTTGCTGTATTAGCCAGTTGGGTTTTTTCTTTGATTCTAGTTTGCTGCCCATTGCTCTCTGATTCAATCCACTGGTCTAGCTTGCTTGCCATTTCCTAGCCTCTATAAAAAGTAGAGCTACAATATAAAATATACAGTCAGTTTTGGCCAGCTAGTTTGGGAGAAAAGCACCTTTCAGTATGCCCCGAATAAAGACATCTACAGTATAGTCTGACAGGATTTAATAGGTTTATACATAAAAATGATGTAGTACTGTGAATTAATTATGTCTTAGAAAAATCCTTTACACTTATGTATATCAGAATTTGATTCCCTACTGTGCCTCCTGGAAGAAGAAACAGTATGTGTGGCCTTGAGCAGCTGCCCAGTCCCAGAACGCTCCTAGCAATTAACCACTTCTGAGTACTCTGTACCTAGGAAAGCCTGGAAGGGATGGCCATGAGTCCAATTCAGCTTGGTGGAATTATTATTAATGTACTTCTGAACTGAGCAGCCTGGGGGTGCTCCTGGACCCCAGTCTAACTCTGGAAGCCCAGGTGGACTCAGTGGCCAGAAGCACCTTCCTTCAGCTGCGGACATTATACCAGCTACAGCCCTACCTGGATGAACAGAGTCTCATGACAGTTACACATGCACTAGTAACAACCCATATAGATTACTGCAATGTGCTGTACGTTGGGTTGCCTTTGAAGATGGTCCGGCAACTGCAACTGGTTCAGAATCGAGCTGCACGGCTGGTGAGTGGTGGGGCCTCTAGGGAACACATCAGGCTGTTTCTGTTCAAAATACATTGGCTACCAATCGCTGCCCGGGCCCAATTCAAAGTACTTGTTTTGATGTATAAAGCCCTAAACGGCTTGGGCCCTGTATACCTAAAGGACCACCTCCTTCCATATGAACCTACCTGGCAGTTAAGATCTAGCCAGAGGGCCCTCCTGAAAAAGCCATCCCTCAAGGAGGTAAGAGGGATGGCTTGTAGACAAGGAGCCTTTTCAGTAGCTGACCCCAGACTATGGAATGCCATTCTGAGGGACATTCGTCTGGTGCCAACATTGATGACGTTTTGGCGCCAGGTCAAAACCTTCATGTTCCAGAAGCTTTTTAATTGATATAATAACTATGGTCCTGATGGCAATTTTTAGAGCATTGCATTTTTAATTGTATTTTAATTGTTCTTATTTTTTAATCTTTGTATTGAATTCAGATTTTTGTAACCTGCCCAGAGACCTTTGTGTAGTGCGGGCAGCATATAAGTTTAAACAAACAAACAAACAAACAAACAAACAAACAAACAAACAAACAATGTTCCTGAAGTTTGAAAGTTAACTGGGTGTCAGTATACAGGCACTTACCATCACCAAAAGACTTATACTTCAAGGATGGAAAGATAAACATATATCATCCATCATCCAATGGCCAGAAGTTCTTTCTATTCTGGCTGCACATGAATGGCTATCTTACAGATGCCAAGAGCAAATGATGTTATATATACTGTACTCTATATACTGTATATAGGGTCAGCTTGTGCACCATCGAGTCAGAACTGACTTATCGTGACCCTAATAGGGCTTTTAAGGCAAGTGGGACATTTAAGAAATGGTTTTACCAGATCCACCACTCTCTCCCAATTCCAAGCGGGGAAAGCCCAAGTTTCCTAGGTTATAATACAGCATTCTGTTCACTACACCACATTACATATCATATTGTTCAGCTTACTTTAATGTATATACCTAGTCCATTATTATATTTTATATTTACTCCCATTTTTTCTCCTTTGTTTTCCCCTTCTTCCTTTTCCCACCCCTTTTTTTCTTTCTGATGGTTTGCAATAATTCTTTAAAAAATGAAAATAAAAATGAATGAAAACCTCTCCCAATTCATGGATAAAAGTTACAACTATAGGAAAGTCTCATTCTTGAAGGTTTCACTGGGAGGCCCTATGATTAAGACAAGAACTTCAGTCTCCCTGTAACAAGACCAAGGATCTATCAATACATTATGCTGGCTCTCTCAGATCATTGCCAAATACTGATGACAAAACTGAAAGATATGGGTAGCAAAACAATGCAACAACATGTGTGCTTAATTTGCATATTTTTAAATCGACCTATCCAGATTTGAAGAAGTGGCATGTGGCAACCATGTGTTTGGTCTACAAGCTTTCTCTAACATGCAGGAAGAATAAGTATACTTTCTTCCCCTTGTAGATTGCGCTCTTGTATTTGGCAGATTGAGAGTATCTCTCCTTTCTGGGCTGATGAGAAATCTGCCCCTTTTCTCTGGACAAAGTGAACTACTGAAAACCAGGATCCCATGTGTATATGCATGAGAGAGTACCAATGTATGAATAAATGTGTGCAGTCCAGTAGGCCTACCATCTGGGTATGCCAGGTTGGCTTACTATTTGGCTTATACCGGCATGCAGACCACAAGCACCCTCAACGCTGTTGTTAATGGCCCTTGGCATTATGGGACCACATGCAGTTGCAATATTATAGAATTTAGCCCTCCCTCTGCCTTCTGTTAGTGAAGACTCTAGTCCATGTTCTAGCCTTTTTTCACCTTGACAGTTGCACTCTTTTTATTTCTGATCTTTAATTTTCTTGCCACTTTATTGATGTACATCCAGCATATTTAACCTATGTTTTTTTACCCACATGTGGAAGTTGTCTTTTGTATCATATAATGCACATACATTTTCAAACAGGGTTCATTTTGTTTCAGCTTGTCTAATCTGAGACCCAGCGGAGATTTCAGCAAAATGCCGTATTATCTTATTGAGAGTTATAAATTCCTTTCTTTCATTTCTAAAAAATATAGTTTCTGGGGAAGATGAAGCACAATTGGAACCTAAGAGTACTACCCAAGCAACACAGAAGCCCACCGTTCCTACATTGGGACCGAAAGAGGAATCCTCTACAAAGAATGCTGTAACAACAATAGGTAAGAGCGTTGTTATTGCCTTCCATATTCGAGATTTAGTACTTCTTCCTCATTTGCCTGTTTTCCCATAGTTTCTTCCATTTTCTTCCTAGATCATAGAAATCCTTACTTGGAAAAACCCCAGAACAGTACCTCACTCTTCACTGGATGGACAATTCCTAGCTCTATATTTCAATGCGCAGTATCCAGTTCCATAGCTCTGTGAGAATTACATCACCAGTAGTGGCAGGTGTATTTAATTGAAGAGTTACTGTTTTGATTTCTGATTGTGCACATAAGCAATGAGACAAAGTTGTACATAAGCAAAAATCAAAGCAGACTCTCTTTTATTAGTTGCAAACTACTGCTGCGTACAGCGCTCCCACTGTGCTAGTGAAAGTGTACAACAGGATTCAGGCCTTCTCCAGAAGATAATTCTGTCATGCCATTGCTCATTTAGTGGATTTTATAGGGGCTCCAGATGATGATACCTGGAACTCTCCCCACACTTTTTTTTTCACTGCTTTTGCCAGTGAAAAAAGCAAAATCCAGTAAGGCATAGCGCCTTCTAATTGTTACGGTAAGGAACTCTCTATTTAAAAATTCACCAAGAGACATACGGGCAGTGACAGATAAGGGCAATAAACCTATCACCTCTTTGGTGGGGCACTATTTTATCATCCCAGAGTTTTCTGTATGGATTATGCTAAAAAGCTTTTCTTGCTATAATTGTGAATACATGCAATGGTGCTGAAACTGCATTATAATGCTATAGTAGCACCAATTTTGCCTTAAAAAAAAAAAAAAGCACAAACATTTCTTCTGATTGCCATCATTTTAACAAGATTTGCTTCCTCTCTCCCCAGCCAAAAGACCTGATCTATACTTCTAATCTCTTGGACATTTTGAATTAGAATTGTATGGTTAGCCAGCCAATTAACTGTAAAATGTTTAAAGGTGCTAATTAAGTGTTTGCTTGTTTGTTTGTTTGCTTGCTTGTTTGCTTGCTTGCTTGCTTAAAGAATCATATGGGTTCTTCCCTTTCAGTGGCCACTCAACTTAACTGGACCTTCTTTATCCATAGCTAAATCACACCCACTGCTATAGATGGAAGCTGGCCAAACACAAACACACACACATGCCAGAATAATCTGAATTGGGGAAAAGTCAATTGGACTTCCACTAATTGCATCCAGGGCATGAACCCCAATTAGCAGTGCTATGGTTTTTAGGATTTTTATGAATAACTGGTTCATATAACAGATAGTTATCTCTTATTCTCTTGAATGTATGTGTTCAGCACTCCCTGATATTAATCAGTATACTTTTCTCTCTGAAGGAATCACACAGCTGCCACAAGTTTTGGCACAGGTTTGGAAACAAGATAACAATGTGGGACTGCTGGTGTTCAGCAATGGATGTATCAGTGACAACTTTCAGAGGTTGTGGGAGGGAGATGACAGTGCAAATTTTCAGGCATTCACGTGGGGATGTCATTTTTCTTTATTTCTGCAACAGCCAACACAAGGGGTTTCTGATTTGTAAACAATGTGTAGTAAAACAGCATCATACAGGCATTACTCTTTGATATAGGTAACCTATATTTTACCCCCTTTGGAGGTAATAACTATCCAGAAGTGGTTTCAATCTCTCCCTTTTTTATGCATTTTCTCATCTCATAATCTCCAAGACAGGTTGTTTCACCCATAAGCCTTAAGATCAAATGAGGTGAGACACTCAGAAGTCTGTGATAAGACCCACCATTTTTGTTCTGGTGATAAGTAAATATTATAAAATTTAAGATATTATGGTAATATTTACTTATCTGGTGATAAGTAAATATTATAAAATGTAAGATATTATGGTAATAAGCAGAAGTTTTTACTCCTCTTTTTATTTCATGAATGTAAATTCCCTTTTCTCCCAGGGCTGCTGTTTATCCCATGGGAACACAAATACTATAAAAATGGACTTCAGGGTACTGGTATTAATAGAGAAAAAAATAGAGATCGAACTGTGGCTTTCTAGGCACCTCTTATAGGTTGCCCAATAAATTTGAAACTGTATACAAAAAAATTCTCAGACTTTACAGAAGTGCAAATATGGCAGATCTGGAAGCTAATAACCTTCTGAATATATAGTTGAGTAATCTTTCTTAATAGCATGCTTATTATTGATATGGTTTTCTGTGTTTTAATTGACTGAACTGTTAGAGTTTTGTAACCTCTCATGCTGCCTTTAGTAAGTGTGGCTGGGAGAGATCTTCCTGGGCTGGGTTGACCATCAATCTATCCAGCGTTAGCCAATCATTCCTTCCCTGCCTCTGAATTCAAAGAGAGCCCCAATTCTGCTCTTCAGCTTTCTCTTTCCTAAGTCCATTGAAGGCCTGTTTTTCAAAGCAATTATGTTTTTAGCTTGCTGCTGATTTGTAAGTAAATGAAACTTTTTTTTTATTCTTTGTACTAATAATGTCTCAGAGTGAGTTATTGAGACTGTAAGTGCCAGTTAGTGAATATATATAGGTGGACTACTATACAGTATATAGGTGGACTACTCAGGGGAACTTGAAGCTGTTTTGCTCTATGAATCCCTGTGCTTCTGCTGCACAGGTAAAGGAATTCAACCAAAAATTCAAAACTCTGCAACATGAATTCAGGAAGCATCTTTATATCAAATAGACCATTTGTTCATTTCACCCTACACCCCCTGACTACCACTGGCTGTCCATAAGATCAGGGAGAAGTCTTACATCTGCAATGCAAGCCTTTTATAAGTGGAGATTCCAGGTGCTGAATTTGGAAATCTTTCACTCCAGGGACTGACTATAGCTAGGAATGTATGTTAATTCTAACATCTGTGCTGTCCAATTCTCATGCCATTTATTAAAACAAATTCCTATTGCATGTCACTGAATGCAACAGTGTAAGTTTGTTTAGGAAGATCTCTGTATGTTTCTGCATGCTTTCTACCTTTTTTCTTTTATGTTTGAATTCTTCACTTTAGGATTCCTGGTATGCAGAAAAGCAATAAATAAAAAAATGTTTTATACTTTTAGGATCTTCAGTATATCCAGCAAATGAAACTGAGGCAAAAAAGGGGACAAATGAGAGCAGCATCACTGCAGTACTACCAACTACCCTCAGTTCGACATTTACAACAGTGCAGTTATCTGCAACAGAAAACATCACAACACAAGCTCCCAACAATGTAACAAGCCAAAGCATAATTCCAACAACCCGTTCAACTGCTTCTTCCACTAAGCAGACAACACAGAATTTCGCCAGCTTACCTAATACAACCCAAACTACTGACAGCACTGTAACGGTAAGGAGTATAAAGAATGCAGACTACTGGTTTAGATGCAACAAGCAATTCCAATTGTGAAAGCCATGTTTTAAATTTGTGTTCAGTCAGTGAATCCATTCTTCCTACTAACTAAGCAAACCATTATTTCTGCTTCTTATGGAATGCATCTGCAAAATGCAAGCCATATTGTTTTTCTCTATCAACCTTATTATGGTCTCTCACAAATAAAATCATAGTTCCCTATTTCCAGGCTGTGAAGACAACATCCCTCTCACGTAGTTCTCAAGTGTCAATGGTACACTTGTTCAACAATGACCTTCCATTGTCAGTTACTTGCTTGGATTAAAGCATCTAAAATCCTACTGAGAGCATCTCACAACCATAATTCCACAATTAGTCCAAAAAAGTAACTTTCCCTGTCTCTGAGTCAGGTTTCCATAGTAATTGACATTCATAGGGTGATGTAGGGATGACAGTGGTCCAGAATGAGTGTCCTTGTAGCCACAGCAGGCCAGTGCTATGCCACTCACTTTTAAAAGAAAAGGCTAGAATCCTGTTTATGCCAGCATTTGCATTAAATGTAGTAGTTGGTTGTACACCAACTCATGCAAGTCATACACAACTGGGAATGTGAGTGGCAACTCATTAATCAGCAACAATTCACATCTGTGATTTGTGCTGTTAAACTAAATAACAATAATAATCATGTGTCATCAAGTCAATTCTTACTTACAGTGACCCTTTTCAGAATTTTCCAGGTAGAGAATACGCAAAGATAGTTTACCATTCCCTTCTTCTGGTGGCATCCTGGGACTATGCAGCTTGCCCCAACACCACACAGGCTGGGTCTACTAGCAGGAGGCACAGTGGGGAATCAATCTCCCAGCCTTGGCTCTGCCTAAATGACTGAGTTTGCACAGTAGGATTCTGGCCTATATTTGAAAGATACGGTGTAGTAGCTACCAGACAGGATGATGAAGATATTCTGAATTGGTGCAAAAGAAATAGGCAGGTGATAGAACTGTGCGCAATTTTCATACCTTCAAAACTTACTTTCATGATTCAGGAGCACATTTCAATTTGTGTGTCTGCAGATATCCAGGTATGATCTCTAAGGAGCGAATTTCCAGTTCAGCTGAACTCTTTGGCTATGCTCCCCACTTACTCTTTACCCGATGCATTTACTGCCTTAGTTATTGAGCTTTGATCAATGTGCTTTGTGAGCAGTTCTGTGAGCTGCTCAGACTTCATTATGTTAATAGCTGGCTTTACAAACATTCTGCACACATAAATAGCTTTAGAGATAGTGAAGCTTCCACTTCTCTCAGTGCACTGATTATTGCCCTTTCCATCGTTTCATCCACAGGCCAGTATCACATGCGTGAATAAAAAAGAAGTGACTTCTGGCACGGCTGTGATATGTTTGGAGCTCACTGAGACCCTCACATGTGTAAGTATAGGGCTACAATTGATCTAAGAATCTGAACATTGAATTTCAGTATGTCTTTCTTCATAAGGTGCTCAAAAAACATGAAGTGTTATAGCTATTATTATTTTAGATTTGTTTCAATATGTAAAGTGCTTTGCAGTTTTTTTCATAGATCCTTGCAACAATGATGTGAGGTAGCATTCCTTTCCCAGCCACATTAATAAACCATTCCAACCTGTGTCTGTCTTGAGCATACCCAGCATGATAATATTTCTTTAAGAATATCTGATGCGCTCTCTCTTCCTCTGAGTGTCATCTCTTCTCTTTCCTCTACTTCCCCAGCTCAAGCCGTCTTCCTCCACTCTCCCCACTTCATTTATTCCCTCTCTTTCTTTAGCTCATTCTTTTTCCTTTCTTTTTTTTAACTCTAGTGCTACTCTTGCACCGTGTAGGAATATCTTGTGATTGCAAGGACAATAGCTCTTCCTCATTTAAGAATCAGGACAATAGCTCTTCCTCAATTGAGAAGCTTCTGGATCACCTTAATAATGACCCTACAGCCCTCTTTTTTGAAGAACATAAGATGGCCTTCACCAACTTTTTGTTCTTCACATATGTTAGACTACACTTCCTACCAGTCCCTGCCAGCATACTCACTTGCCTGGAGGCATATCTGGAGGGCATTAGTTTGAGGAAGACTGATGTAGAGGGCAGTTTTCACCAAAACAAATATAATGGCTGGGCATCGGTTGGTGCATAATGCAGGCTAAAGGCTGAGAGCCACACAGCAAAAGTACAGAGAAAAGTAGCCCCAAAACTAGTGCTGGCTTAGAATGCAATCCAGTGAATGTTTATTTTTAAACAAGTCCTTCTTCATTCACTGGGATTACTGTGCTCTGAGTTTTATAGTGCTTGGAATTCATTGTTCAAGAGTCATACTTTTGATCTTGGCATTATAGGAGCAAAGAAACAAGTCATTTATTTTGTCTCATCATTACTAAATTCACATTAGCTGCTCCTGACCTCCGGTTCTTCATTATATTACTGTGGAGAGTTTGTTTGATCATTCTTCTAATTTCCAGTCAAAGGTGTCTGAGGATAAGCATTACAACCCTGCAAGACTGACATAACATACTCGATTTAGTGGACAAAATCCTTTTGACATAATTTTATGCTGTCATAACCCAGATTAGCCACTGGAAACATTTAATTTAAAGTAATTAAGAGCTTCTTATCACCCTCATTTTTAGTTCTGAAGCTTCCTGGGGATCTCTTTTGCACTGGGGAAGCCTTTGGAAACCTCAGGCTGGGCGGGTAAAACATGAAAAGAAAAAAATGCCACCAGCACTAAATCCAGATTATGAAAGCACAAAATTACACAACATTTTCCCCATTGAAATCAATGGGGAATACCACACAAGCAAGTTTCATTGTGCTTAGCAACATACACAAAAATTTTCAGTTCAGAGTAGTAATCTCACAGGGAGGAGTATACCAAAGCATCACTTGTAATATAGCTTCCACATTTGCTCCTAACCTCATTTTATTTTTATGGACATGATGTTTTGGAGGTCCCATGTCATTGTTTCCTATGAAAGCATTATTTCTGTGATATTTCTCATCCAGAGCATGAACTGGGATAGTGTACCCACTCTTTGGTGCTCAATTAACTTATGCTCAAAATAGTTTCCAAATGTATCACATGACTAATCTCTATGTTGAGAAGACAAACTCTCTGCTTCTCACTGTAATGCCTGAAGAGGGCTGTTGCCTCAGCCTTTAGCTTTAGAGGAACTGATAACTGTATCTGAGTTGTGAGCAGACAGAATGGATGGTATCCCTTCTTTGTTTTCCTGTTGGGTTTTTCCAGTAAACTGGTTTGTACCTCTGGTCAGTACAAAGGAAACTGTGACACTTACTCAACTATCAACAGGTCTTTCCACAGCAAAGGAAAATCTACTGAAGAAAGTTTTTTTTTCCACAGCCCACTAAACAAATGTCTGCGGAAACTGTATGACTAGATTCTTATTTTGAATATTCCATTTTCCAAGGCTTAAAGAGTTATGTGATAAATTGTATTCTGAATTTTTGTAGCATTGCTTTTATTTATTTAATTAGTCAGTGATGTCATGTGGCAAGCGCTTTCAAAACCATTTGCAGTTGTACTGAAGATATCTTTAAATTGCTTGGGGTTTTTTTTGGAAATCTTGGAATTACTAAAACAAGGAGTGGTCTGGACCTTTAGTGTACTAGGTTTATATGTATTAGGCTTCATCTGGCACTTGAAAGATGATCATTGCTTTATAATATGGGGAAGATTAAAAACTGGCATTCCTTGCCCACCTCCATAGGTGGGCAAGGAATGCCCACCTATAGAAGCTACTTTTCCACCTTCATACAGATTAGCTTCATGTAGCAACCAACCATCAGCACATGCAACCAGATCCAAACAGGTTAAGCACCTGGCTGCAGAGCCAGGGCTTAAAAGTTTGATTCCTCAGTGTGCCTCCTAGGAGAAGAGCCAGTTTGTGTGGTCTTTGGCAAGCTACATGGTTTTTAATTAGTCAGTGATGTCATGTGGCAAGCGCTTTCAAAACCATTTGCAGTTGTACTGAAGATATCTTTAAATTGCTTGTTTTTTTTTTTTTTGAAATCTTGGAATTACTAAAACAAGGAGTGGTCTGGACCTTTAATGTACTAGGTTTTTATGTATTAGGCTTCATCTGGCACTTGAAAGATGATCATTGCTTTATAATATGGGGAAGATTAAAAACTGGCATTCCTTGCCCACCTCCATAGGTCAAAGTAGATGCTACTTTTCCACCTTCATACAGATGAGCTTCATGTAGCAACCAACCATCAGCACATGCAACCAGATCCAATCAGGTTAAGCACCTGGCTGCAGAGCCAGGGCTTAAAAGTTTGATTCCTCAGTGTGCCTCCTAGGAGAAGAGCCAGTTTGTGTGGTCTTTGGCAAGCTACATGGTTCCAAAGCACCCTGAGGAGAAGGAACTAGAAAACTGTTAACTTTCTACCCTGTTATTCTTAAGTGTCTGTCTGTCTCACTCACTCACTGTAGCGAGCATGCTGAAGCCTCTACCAACTCAGGCCTCCAGGAGCGCTCACTCTTCTTCTTCAGTTGCTGCCACCAATTTTATCCAATATTTTTTTTAAAAAGCCAAGTGTTGTTTCTAAACAAAAACTTGTTTATTGGGTCTGGACCTTTAGTGTACTAGGTTTATATGTATTAGGCTTCATCTGGCACTTGAAAGATGATCATTGCTTTATAATATGGGGAAGATTAAAAACTGGCATTCCTTGCCCACCTCCATAGGTCAAAGTAGATGCTACTTTTCCACCTTCATACAGATGAGCTTCATGTAGCAACCAACCATCAGCACATGCAACCAGATCCAATCAGGTTAAGCACCTGGCTGCAGAGCCAGGGCTTAAAAGTTTGATTCCTCAGTGTGCCTCCTAGGAGAAGAGCCAGTTTGTGTGGTCTTTGGCAAGCTACATGGTTCCAAAGCACCCTGAGGAGAAGGAACTAGAAAACTGTTAACTTTCTACCCTGTTATTCTTAAGTGTCTGTCTGACTCACTCACTCACCAAGGGCAGGGCTGAATGCTACACTCACTCACTCACACCTTATTTTCTCCTTTCCCAATAATTATAGTCTAATCACCTTTCAGTGAAGGGGCACCTGCTATAATTGGTAATCCAATGCAGCTGCTTGAGCATGGCATTTTGTTCCACCAGTCCTGAATAGAACTGAGGTCTAGAAATGGCAGAAGCAGATACAGAAGTAAAGTGATATCCAAGCCCCCTTCCATCATATCTTGGAACAATTTGCTCATACTGAGGGACAGGATCTGAGGCCAGACCTTTCTAGGTTGGACAGATAGCACAGGGGCCATTCCTTCCACCCCATAAAGGTGAGTGGGGTGACCATTTTTTTCCTCAAGGATACCTCTAGAACAGTGGTGTCGAACTATGGCCCTCCAGATGTTCTTGGACTTCAACTCCCAGAAGCCTTCACCACCACCTCTGCTGGCCAGGATTTCTGGGAGTTGAAGGCCAAGAACATCTGGAGGGCCACAGTTCGACACCACTGCTCTAGAAAGTGTTCCAGAGTGACATCGTGATAGAACATACTTGTGACAGAGGACAGGCAGGAGAGGGAAATGACCATGGACTGACACTGTTATCTGCCACAATAACAGAAAGAAAGCATTTAAGAGAGAGGGGGAGAGAGCACAAAGTAAATGAAACCTCTATTACTGGACACGGAGCCCTGTCCGTAAAGCTGTTAAAAATTTAAGCAACTCACAAAGGATTGTGGGAGGCTGTTTTATTCCCCTCTGCTGCCAAAAAGCATGTCAGCAAAGATCCTAGCAGATATTTTAGTGAAACTGTAGCCTCATTTTTTTCTGACTACCAACATAATTTTTTGACAGAAGTGTATTTAACAGTTAATGTTAAGAATTAACCTAAAAGAGCATATTCTAAAAGATGACCCAGGAGCCAACTTTATCTCATGAAAATGTTGTCAGAATTGCAGATATCCATTCTTTCCATGGTCTCCTGTTTTGGGAATAAATTAAAATCTGGGCCCTGAACATGACTGGAAAAATGACTGAAGAATACTTATGACTTAATCTCTTCAGAAACAGATAACAGTTCTGAAACTTTCCTGGTCAACACTTGGGAGCACTTCATTTGCTGTTGTTTCAGGAATCACTTGGTGCATATCATAGTGAAAGCCAGTGCTCAGAAGTAAGCTATTACAAATAATATTACCTGCAATGTGTCACTTTTTTGGATAAGAAAGATGGAATGGCTTAAGTATCGGAACAATATCCTTTTCTCAAAATCTTCCCCAAAAGCTATGATTATTTAAAAAATTTCCCATGTAATTATTATGGCTAATGTTTAGTCTTTACTTTCTTTCCCCATTAATTTTGACAACTAAAAATTTTTTCGAACATTTTGAGGGCTTTTAAAATGTTTTAGAACACATTCTATTTTTAGATAAAAACTGAATTGCAAATACAATGAGCATCATAATAGATTGCTAAAAGATTTACATCATGTTAGCAATAAGACATTTTGGGGATTTTGTAACAAAATATATTTAAAAATTGCTTTTAAAAATCATTTTCCAAGTTTTACTGAAAGTTAAATCACAATAAGGCAAAATTTACCAAACCAGTGACAGGAAAATAAGAAAAACTGCAAGCTCAGAAGTATGACATGAAGCTAGTAAAAGAGCTACCATATTTCATGGCAATGGGTAGAGGGAAAAGTCAAGTGGATAGGCTAGAATAGACTCAATGAAACAATAGGGATTTAATGAGCCCACTCCTCTGTACATTCCATTGATTCAAAGAGGCCTACTATAATTGTGACACTACATTAAACTAAATTGTAACTAGAGTAGGCCTGTTTGAATCAATGGAACTTATGGAGGAGTTGACTCACCACATCCCCACTGATTCAGTGGGTCTACTCTAGTGAAACCCACTATACTAAGCAGCAGGGTTTCAGCCAATAAATGCTAACTATTCTGTGTACATAAATACTTTTCACATCATGGCTGACAACCATGAAAACTCTTGACCTGCAAAGTTCTGTTCACATCTCTGATTATGTGAAAAGGGCTTAAGAACTTTCATGAACTGTGTGTAGGTGGAGTATTTCATTCCACATAGGTAGCACCATTGCAAAAAACAGCTACCTCAAACAGAGAAGGAAATGCTTGCAATAGGTACAGGACTGAAACTGAATGAAGGATGGACAGGGAAGTATACTAGGAGTCAACGATGGATAGTTGCCTGAAGAAAATGGGGGGGAAACCCTAACAGTGATTGGATTTAAAGGGAAAGTTGCAAGACCTGGGTGGCACATTAGTTCAGCAATGAATCAGAGAAAGTACAGCAAGCAGGAAATTCCCACAGTCTAGATAAGATACAGAGAATGGCCTTTCCCAGTCAAAACAATGGTCTGGCTAGCGAAATAGCCTGCTGCAGATGGTGAGTGACCAGTTCTGGATGTTTATGTCAAATATGCACAACATCACTTTCAGATACCTATCCTTTTCTCTATACATTTTTCAAAGTTCTGCCTGTCTTTTCTGAAATGGGTGAGCCAGGAGCACTTAGCATGTAGCCTACTATTGAATGAAGAGAAGACTGCTATAACTGTTAACTGCATCTGGGGAATTATGAGAGCTGTCATTCAAAAAAAATAAGTTTCCAAAATTCTGACCATTCCGCTTTTATTTCCCTCTGTCTCTATTTCTGAGTTTGCTTTGGAACACGTGTTGCATGGAAATTGGCCAAAACTTTATTCTAAGAATGTTTATCAATAGGGGATTATTACAGGCCATTTAAGATATAACACTTATTTACTTGTAATCACATCCTGAAGAGATCTAAGGAATGTTTTGCAGTACAATGATGCCATTGGAGAACTAGATCTTTTCACCTAATGGTTCTGCAGTTGGGTTCCTAAATTTCTTCATCTATAACATCTCCAGATTACAATTCAATGTTTACCTTGACTAAATTTGTACAAGATTTAAGGGAAAAATCCATCAGTTGTTGATACTGCATTAAAACTCTGTCTTCCAAATCACCAAACCTACCTATGCTACAACATTGTGTGACTAAAATATTTATTTTTAGCTCTTTTAAAAGCCAAAGGATGGCCCTGAACCCAATCCAAAGGACACGTATACAGTGAATTCCAGAAACTTCATCATATTCTTTGAGGCACAAAATGACCAAGAGGAGGAAAAGCCTGCAGCACTGTAGCTTTCTCCTCCATCTCCTCCCACCATTGTTGGAGAAGAGGGGTGATCTTCAATCTTTGTGTGGGAAGGTTTTGTCCTTTGTGAAATGTGCAATTGAAAGCACCATCTGAAAGATGTGAAACATTTCCAAAACAGGAAGGCCAAGCGTTTGTTTGCTACTTCCCTCATCTCCTGCCTGGTGACCAAAAAAAAGGAGATAGTGCTTATATAATGCCTAAACAATAAGAGCTGCTTTGGTTTCTTTTGCTTTTCAGTTCTTACAAAAAAACCCCACTCCTATTATTATGTACTTCTGTCAGTTTTAAATATGGATGGAATGTTTGTTCATTATAATAAGCAATATTGAATGGGGAGGAAGCCAAGTATTCGTTGTACACAATCTGAAGACAAGCGTGGGTGATACCTTTATTAGACCACTAAAATATCACATGCAGAAACTAGCTTTTGATTCTGTTGGAATTACTAATTACTGTCTCCTAGCCTGATCAAGACTCCTGCAGAGTCAAAAGCTAATTTCTGCTTGTGATATTTTAGAGGTCTAATAAAGGTACCACCCACTCTTGTCTTTTCAGAATGAAAAACTAGACATTTAACAACTTAACTGCTTTTAGACTGTTTTTGTGTTCAGTATTCACAGATATGAATCTGAGAACAAATGTTCTGGTTTATATTCCCTTATTGTTAATTTGTGTTTTATTAACAGGCCTGATCTTGTTCAGGCACTTTAGCAATAACAAGGCAAATTAAAACTTACACATACATGGCTAAACCAGTTCTAAAGAAGGAGTGACCAGTTTTTGACCTTTAGTCCTAATCAGCCCTAATTCATCCATAGTAAAGGATTTTGGAAAGCACAGTCCAAAACATCTGGAGGACCAGAGTTTCCCACTCCAGTCTAAAGCATGGTTTTCCTAAAAATATTTAAGTCATGCGTGTTTTGTCTTCTTAGTTGCCATGAACATGCAATTCTTCAAAAAGCCTCTGGTTAATGAATGTAGAATATTGTGCTTCTGTACCCATGATTCTAAAAGCCAACAGCAGCAGTCAAGCTGGTCTACCTATTTCTTTCTTTCTTTCTTTCTTTCTTTCTTTCTTTCTTTCTTTCTTTCTTTCTTTCTTTCTTTCTTTCTTTCTTTCTTTCTTTCTTTCTTTCTTTCTTTCTTTCTTTCTTTCACTTTTGTGCTCACTGCCATTCACCAAGTGACAGAAAACAAGGGAAAACCCTAGAAGTTGCCCCCCTTTTTTCATCAGTTAACCACTTCCCACCCAAACACAAAGCAATTGTCAGGGTTTTTTTCAACATGTGTGAATGGTTGTGAGCAGAAGAGCATAGTTCAGTACAATACATTGGTGCCATCCCAGGCACCAGTAATTAATAACAAGACACTCTAAGCAAACACGCACATGTGCATGTCCCAAAGCACCATCATCACTTCATCCTCATATTGTAATTATTTCTCAGCGTTATTGTTGTTGTTTTCTTTGGTATATTTATATCCCTCTTCTCCTTCCTATGATCTCAGGATACTTAACTATCGTATGACATCCCTATGCAGATTACAACATAATCTGGACAAGGGAATCCATGTCTATGGAAATCATAAGCAGGAACATGATCATCGAGCTGCCATCTTTTGCTTTTAATTAGTTCCATATGAAAACTTTCCAAATCAGTTCCTTGGGGAAGTTTTCTAAATCAGTATGGCTTCCTCAACCTAGTGTAGCCATCTGACCAAGAAGTTGATATGCGACTAACATTGTGAGATATCATTGCATTGCTTTACCATAGAAAGATTTAAAGCTGTACAGAAGCTTGTAGAGAATTTCAGCAACTCTCATTGCTATAATAAAATATAACTGAAGAAAACATTTATTTGACACAAATTTGACGTTTTTCCTTCCTACCTTCTACAGGAACAGTTTAAAATGCAGAAAGAAAAGGACCTAGGAAGGGTGTTATGTGTGATAAACACAACATGCCACATCAAGTTATCAGAATCTAGCGTGAAGCGGAATTGCATACTGTTGGTTGACGTTAGCAATGCAGGTCAGTTGAGCCAATATGCATAGCCTTTTTGTGTGACTGCCAAGAAGCAGTTGGTTTGTTAAATTTGGGAGGTTTCTGTTTCAGCCCTGAAAGTGGATTTAAATCATTTGGAACCACAGCCTGAACTCTGATAATAATTCACAACTAGAGTGGGCCCATTGCATAAATGAAAAAAAAAATACAAATAATCCCAGAACATGTTAGTTTCTCCAGTTATTGCTGTTCCTTTTTCATGGCATCATTTGTGCCCTGAAACATAAGATCTTGCACAATGAGACAAATTCTTCTAAGCATGAGTTTACCCCTGTCATTAAATCACATTTGCAGGATATAACAACAAGCCCATCAGTATTAATCAAAGATTCATAAAAAATTATTTTTTAAGAAAGTATTAATCAAGGATTCAAAATAGACAAGATACTCAGATTGTATTAATCATTCCTTGAAATGGTAATAGATATCTGTTTTGTCTCAGCACAAGTTTTTCTTACCTTTATATCTACAAATTAGCTTCTTTTGTGTTGTGACTGACCGTTAGGGTATAAACATCAGTCTAATTAGCAAGTCTGATCGTTCACAAATGCAGCTCTGGAGAAATTCTGACACTGGAAGAAAACCATGCCATCAGCTTCTAGATATTAGCTGAACACCCCATCTGGCTTGGCCCTACAATTGGTGACTGATGGTTATATAAGCATTATAAGCAGATGGTTTCTTCCCTTGATTGTCCATTCCAGTCGTTATTTCTAACGTGTCTTGATAATTCATCATGGATTGTACTTCTCCCACTGAAACAAAAGAGAGTGGGCATTTTCCTGAAAATGTTTGATATCTTCATAGTCTCTCTCAGTGTTATAGTAATGGATGCCATAGAAAAATAACAGATGAACCCTGGTTTCTAATTGTACTTTTAATTATTTTGGAAACTACAGGTGCAGATGCACTGAGTAAAGTTCTCAGTGAGAAGACCCATGATTTGCAAGAGGTAATAAACTAGCAATACTTACATGTGGGACGTGGATGGTATGGTAATGGAATCAACTGCCTCAGCAGATGATGGACTCTCTTTCACTGAAGATTTTTCAGCTGAGATTGGATGACTACTTATTGTGTATATTTTAGCTATGGATTTCCCACATTGGCAGAGGTCTGGATCCAAAGATCCTTGGGTCCCTTGCATTTCTATAATTCTGTGATTCCAAGAAACCACGCCATAATGAGGTAGTTTAAAATCTGAATTAAGTGCTCTAAATCCTAATAGCTATCTATCATGGATAACCTGTAAAGGTACAGTTTTTTGCATTTTTTTTAAAATTAAGAGGGCAGATGAGAAATATAACATATGACTTAAACATTTTAATAGTAAATCCAGACTAACATTGGGAAAAGCATCCTGGATTAATTTCTAGCTCACCACATTTACTATTTTTAGATACTAGATTTCTTCCCGCCCCCTTTTTTCTCTGTCTTCTGACAAGTAGTATAAGATTTCTAGCAGGGAGTTGTGATCAGTTAAGACATACTAAAAGAAAATTTACATAGATGACACCCTGAAAATGAAGTTTCCAAGTTGCCATCCTGAAAATTTAAAACATGTACAAATCTTACACACACACCCAAGGCTACACCTCCTACAGATATTTGCATATTATTTGGTCTTATGTATGTAAAATATACATATGTGAAATAGCATTAATATACAAATTGAAATAGGATCTCTATACAATTTTTCTGTCTCTTACTTTATAGTAGCTATGTTATACCATTGTGTAGTCATCACTTTTGATTCCGGCAGAATTTTAAAATTGTATGAATTGTATGATGTTGGAGCCTTAACTATTATGTTCTTAGGGCTATTGTACAGTATTCTAATGAGGGTTCCCAGTGCTAAATTAGCATTTTTGCATGCTTTACATCTTCAGAGCATGATCATGCATTAATTAGTTAATCATTACTCTCCAATGATTCAGTCTTTGCTTGTAAAGCTAGACTCCGGGATCCTGTAAAAATAGCACTGAAACGCTAAATGTGCCCATAACTCTTGCAGCTGTCATGTGATAAATGTCAGGGAAGCAGGGCTAACTATAGAAGATAGTTCAAAACTGAGTCTGATACAGGAAAGAATAAATTGTGAACCACAAGTTTCTCTCACGCACAAGGGCATCAGATGGGCAGGGAGTATTTACAAAACCCAGTACAGAGATGGATGGATTAAAAAAAATACAAGACAAAGCACTGAATGGTATCCAAATTCTATTTTTTGCACTGACTATGACAGATTTTAGAAAGGGGGGGAAATGGCTCTCATGAGATTTAGTATCCTGACAATTAAAAATAGACTGCCAGAAAATTCTGATTAAGACTATTCAATTCCCAACATTATGGGTGTCAAAATACATGTGGCACCGGAAATTTACAATTTCTATTTCCTGTGTTGTTGTTTTAAAATTAAAATGATATGGACAGGATCAAAATACAATATAGAAAAAGTAGATTTCATAATTTCTCATGCACCATATTCCCTGCCATCCACAAAGCTGAAATTTGGCCCAAGATGAAAAGTATACCATACTGCAGTATTATCTGTCTCTGTAATTGCACTCAGACTTTGATAGTCTGTACTCCTAAACAAGACATTAGAGACCTATAATTAGATCTCTTCTTTTTAATTATATAAAAAAATAACACACCTAAACAATAACAAGGCATCCAAAAGTTGTCCTAACTGGTGGATCAGTAAATTTTCCATGACAAGGGAAACATCAGTACCAGGGAGACCATTTTGATGGTAAAAATGGCAGATAGGGAATGGACCATGATCTCTGTCCAAACATAGATCTTTTAACATGTCTTCAAATTTGATGCTTAAGCCCAAAGTCCCCTAATGTTTACATGGGATACAGTGGATAGAGTGCTGAATATTGTCCTGCTTGCAATTGTTCTTCTCAAGTGTTGTTCTCCAAGCTGGTTTTATTTCAAGAGTAAGACCTCAGGTAGATGAAAATGTGCTTCAAAAGCTGAACTTATGAGGATAAGACTGGTGAACATAGAGGGGAGCTTCAAAAGCAGATCCTCCACTATCCATAAGGGTTCTCCATTTTATGTGGAGAGCGTGCACAGCTACTGGAGCTCTTCCTCTTCAGATTCATTGTTCATGCGTAAGGAAGTGACAAAACCAGAAGCAAAAGGGGAAGGGCTAAGGGAGTCCTTGCTGCCCATGACAATTGTAACAATAGTTGAACAGTGCTACTGTTGTGGTTTGGGCATCACTTGTTGCACATATGATATCTGATTTCAAAGCACTGCTGATAGAAAATCTCTAAAATCAATTTTTAAAAATCTGCTTCCACTGGGATACATATGACAAAGTAAGAGTGAGATAATAAAAGCTTCTGGGAATTTTTTCCATTGTCATTTTTCCTGCACTGCATCCTTCCTTAGATTTAAAATTAGAAATTGAATGTAGGATTTGGGGTGTAATTAGAAGAGACTATGAATGTAATATGTTTTCTCTCTTTTTTTGCAGCTAGGGATTAAAAATGTCCATAAATCAGAGGGCATTGAGAATCATGGGGACTATTCCCGGAAGACCCTTATTGCCTTGGTCACCTCTGGTCTCCTGATGGCATTTCTTGGATTGGCTGGATACCACTTTATGAAACGACGGAGCTGGAGTCCCCGTGGAGAGAGGCTGGTTAGTACTTATAAATGGCAATACAAATAGAGCCCTAAGTTCAGTGGGAATGTGAAGGAGGCAATGGCAGAAGCTTTCTAGAAATTACCTACAGCCTAAAACTTCTTAATGCTGGTAGCAATGTCTGCTGGTGGGTTTCAAAGAGACAGGTGGAAATGAGAAAGACCTAACGATGATACTTTTTGGTACGTTGGCTGTGACAGTGAAACTATCTTGCTAAATTATCAAACTATAAAGGTTTCAGAATTTGTGGTTATTCTAAAGAACATCACATTATATTCTGGTTTTAGAATGAATGAGGCATAATTTTCTTTCTCCTCCTCTGATAATAAGGCTGTTGGTTCACATACAGAAAATATATTTCACTGCTATTTCGAATTCAAATACTTCTAAACTAATTTCTATTTCTAATGTTAATTCTAATGCTGTAGTATAAGAAATGCACAAATGCACAATTTTCAAAACAGACTATATTTTCTTATAACACTGTTATATTTTAATTTACATTGTCTCTTTATATTTCTGCTGTACCAAAGGCTTCTGGCTTGTGGTTCAGCTAGCAAATTAAACAATAAAGGACATGAAGAAAGAGAACTGTTTTCTGTGACAGATTTGTTCCCATCAACTTCTCTTTGTTCCCTCTTTTTGTTGGCTTGCAATCATCTGAAGTATTCAACTTTAACCTTATCAGATCCCAATTCAAATTGTGATAACAATTTAATATTCTGATACATGGAATTATTGCTGCAAGAATCCAAGAAAATTGGGGGTTTAATTACTCATCCATGTGTTTGCATGTAAAATAGCCTAGAAGGCCCTTCCTTCCAAGTTACAAATGTTTCAGGAGTAAGTATATCGAGCAGAAATATAGTAAAAGAGGGCATGTTTAAATCCTTTTCCAACCTTCTGCTTTTTCATCTCGTCTCCTCTCCCCAGGCTATTTTGACTCCTGCTATGATTGCCTTTTAACTAAAGTCTGCTGGACAGGTACTTTTAGCAAAGAGATCTGTCACAGAAATAGGGCAGTAATTGAATTTCCATCATTTCTTTTGCATTGTTTGGTGGCACGGGGGAAAGTAGAGCTGTTTCGAATATGAATTCTGTGGATGAAAAAAGGCCTGGCAAGATGACCCCTTTCTTGATAAACAGTATTGTGAATGTGGTCCACTATGAGTTTCTATCAGTCTATTTTTCCAAGAACTCATTCTCAGGTCTACGGCACTGAGGGACAAAATTATCCTACATGAACAAGGCCCACTTCACATGAGATTACTTCTCCACAGAGATATCACATCCATGAATAAAAACCCTTTACTACTTAACTGCTTTGGAATCAGAGCCACTACAAAGATAATTAGTGAATGGAAAGCTGTTCCATTTATACAGTTGTTGAAATATATTTTACTAAAAATAAACCTCCTCTCAATTCCATACAGAAATTATTTCATTTTACCTGAAGAGCTGAAGCACGGAGAGGCAGGCTTCAAGCTGCTCCACCTTTTCTTCCAATAAAGCTACCAGCTTGCACTTGATGCAGGCGTAGCCTCCTACATGGACAGGAAGATAAACATAGCACAGATGTTGCAGATCCCTTATGAGGTTCTTAACAGAATTTGGCAGTCACAATAAATCCAATAAATTTAGCTTTCCAGTAGGGCACATTAAGTAATACAGTACTAACAATCCCTGATGACAGCAAAATAGATGCATGCAGTTATGTGCATGAAGCATGTCCTAGTAGCAAGATATAAAGGCAGACAACTCAAGGGGAGGGATCATAGCTCTATGGTAAAGTATTTCAAACATCTTTCTTTTAGTTCCTGCATTATTTGTTTAAAGGGGATCTGTAAATCTTTGCTTGGGACCTTGAGGAACTGCTATCAATTAGAGTAGACATTATTGGGCTATATAGACAAATAGGTAAAGGTAAAGGTTCCCCTGACATTTAGTCCAGACGTGTCCGACTCTAGGGCGTGGTGCTCATGCCTGTTTCCAAGCCATAGAGCCAGTGTTTGTCCAAAGACAGCTTCCGTGGTCACGTGGCCAGCACGACTAGACACGGAATGCCATTACCTTCCCGCTGAGGTGGTACTTATTGATCTATTTGCATTGCATGCTTTCGAACTGCTAGGCTGGCAGGATAGATCTACTCAATATAAGGCAACTTTTGAAGTTTTCGGGCTTGTCTATGGTATATTGGTTCTTTGCTCTTGTTCTAAAAACTTTTTCATTTATTAGCATTTTACAATCTGAGTATGGCAATACATTGCAAGGTCATCCTTGCATAAAGCAGATTTTTAAATATTCTTGTTGTCATAAGTTGTCATCATTGTCAACTTCTTTTTCTGATAGGACAAATGACTGATTGAAAGGATAAATGTTCTCTTTTCTGTGCGGAATCTAAACCATTTTGTTGTAACTGGATCTCTTGACTAAGTCTATATTTTGTTATTCTCATGTCTCTTACCATTTAGGGAGAAGATCCATATTACACAGAAAATGGTGGTCATGGCAACCCTGCAGCCTCTGTGGCCTCTCATGAACAGTCTGATCTGCAGGATAAGCCAAATCTCAATGGAGGAGCTCGAGAAAATGGAACTGGCCAGACAGCCTCAAAAAATGGACACTCAGCGAAGCCCCATGTTGCTGACACTGAGCTGTGAAAAGGCTGTGGATTAAAGTGCTGTTAATGTCTCCTGAAAGACCAAAATGGAGACACAGAAAAGCTAGGATGCAAGGAAGTCATAAATGGAATCATAATGTTTTAATTTTTACAGAGAGCTCGAAAATTCAATTCTAAAGCATTTGTTTCCAAGAGCAGGCCCAGGACTTTTGTGCACATAGCAAACTGCTTCAGTGGAATTGGATACTATTTGGGAAGTAGGATCTTTTTCAGACCAAAGTGAGATGACTGGACTTCAAATGAATTTATGCAGAAAGGCATGTTATCTGGAAATTTAAAGTGGATTTATCAATTATCCTTGCTAGGACGTTGATTACCAGATCAACCATTTTAAGGAGAAAGATTTCTTTATTCTAAGCATTCTTAATGTTAATAAACAATAGGATGATTAGGCCAATGATTCTAAATACGAATTTACATGGTAAAATCAGTACAAGTGAATCAGTTTTGTTAATTCTGAAACACATGGCCATATACTTCTCCCGTCCTAGTCCAAACTATAATTTTTCAAGATGTAAATGGGTGACTTTGGGGTGCATGTTACTACATTTATTATGCTTTGATTGTATTCCTGCATTGATCAGGGGGTTGGACTTGATGGCCTTGTAGGCCCCTTCCAACTTCTCTTTTCTATGATTCTGTGATTAATCATGCAGGTCGCCACATTAAAATCAAACAAAAGATCAAAGATTTAAAAAGGCATCTGTATCAAACTTCATATTTTGCTGGGGTTCTCCAGGTAAGTGCCACAACTGCTCAAGACTTTGCTTTTTGTGCTACATCTTCCAAAAAAAAAAATGAAAGTCCTCAGGATGATGGGCTTATGAAGAATAGGATTCATTCGGAAGTACCATTTAAAAATTTCTGAGCAACAAAGATTTCAAATCTTTATTAGGCTTAATGTGCACAGAAAGCTAGGTGGAAAGATGTCAGCTAAATATGGAGAGTTCCTTAACCGACATGAAACTGCAATAGGCAAGTAGCCTAAGGTTGTAAATATTGCTCATTCGCTTTTTCTGTTCTGTGTTTCTACTTAGGGATTTTGTTTTAATTGTTTACATAAGAACAAATAAATGGAAGCATAGGGCATACAGCAACTGTTACAGAGCAACTGATTGATGCCTGTAAAGCAAAAAGCAAGTTACTGAAACTTTGTCCATGATTGTGCTTAAGTTAGTTTTAATGAAATCAGTGGACAAATTAACCAAATGATGTCAATCAGAATGTCAGTCTCCCAAGACTGTAGTCCTATATCTCTTACCTGGGACTTACCCGGGACTCAATGAAGCTTACTTTAAAGCAGAAATGTATAGAATTGTGTTGTAAACTTAATAAACTATCTTTGGATTGAAGCTTTTGCATCTGATTTTAAAACAAGTCAATTGAGAATAAGTAAATGGAAAACCAAATCCTAGGCTTAAATCACATCTTGTATTTCTGTTTCTATAGGCTGAGTTAATGTCTTGTTTTCACTGTCCTTATCGTTCCATAAATACTAGGGAGCCATTAGTCTGTCTCTTTTTTCTGCTTACCTTTCTACCTTCCATGTTCAATACCAGCTTAGGGTTTATTGACTATGAATGAATGGCCTTTCTTCTTTTTCACTGGTCAATATGGTCCTTGCCCTTTTACACTGATATATGCATATTTTATTAAAAACAAAACTAGATTTTTAATATGAATGAAATAGCCTCATTTTCCTCAACAAAGGTGAAGTACCAGACTGTGGAAAACAGAATGAGTCAGAAACTGATCTGGGCGTCTTATGAAGGAAAGCATCTAGTGAGAGGTGGGCACTATCTCAAAATGTGGTACAGAAAATTAAAATAGTTTCAATTCATTTTAAAATCTATTTAGAAACAAAGCTGCTACTTTATAGAAAGAAGGAAATTGTACTCATTTCATTGATGAGTTTCCCCTTTGTGTTTGTCCTGTAGGAGAATATCCTGACCATAGATACAAAAAAGAGAAAATATTTTACTAAGACACCCACCTAAATTCCTCCATGTCTCTCATTCTGTATTTTCTCCCAAAAGGAAAACACTGGTTGAACTAGTACAAGTGGAATAAAGGAGGCAGTAAAACAGCTGCTGACCAAAGAGATGATATGAGAACACCTAGCAAATTTAAATGATTTCAGGTCTTCTGAACTAGATAAACTGAATTCAAGGGTAATTAAGGAATTTGCAAATGTCATCTCAGAGCCTTGGTCTATCATCTTTGAGAATTCTCGGAGAGCACATGAGGTTTTCAAAGACTGTCATCTTTATCTTCAAAAAGATAATAAAAAAGAGAATTCTGGCAACTGCAGACCAATCACCTTGACATTAATACTAGGAAAGGATTAAATCACTGGTTCTTAACCTTGGGTTACTCAGGAGTTTTGGACTGCAACTCCCAGAAGCCTTCACCACCAGCTGTGCTGACTGGGGTTTCTGGGAGTTGCAGTTCAAAAGCATCTGAGTAACAAAGGTTAACCACTGGATTAAATCATTGGTCTGTGGGAATAGAAAACAGTATTGTGAATATTAAGATCCACCATAGGTTTCTTAAAAACAAATGATAGCAGGCTAATCTTATCTCTCTTATTGATTGAGTTGCAAGGTTATGCCGGGGGTGGATTAAGTGGATAAGGGAACCTTTTTTTCCCTTCTCATGCAATACCAGAACCAGGGGCCATCCACTCAAATTGAGGGTTGGGAGAGTGAGACAGACAAAAGAAAATATTTTCTTGCCAGCGTGTTGTTAGTCTGTGGAACTCCTTGCCACAGAATGTGGTGATGGCATCTGGCCTCAATGCCTTTAAAAGGGGATTGGGCAGATTTCTGTAGGAAAAGTCTGTTGCAGGCTACAAGCCATGATTGGGATGTATAATCTCCAGGCTTAAAAGGAAGGTACCCCAAAATGCCAGAGGCAGGGGAGTGGTACCAGGAGACAGGTATCTAGTTGTCTCGTGTGCTCCCAGAGGCATCTGATGGGGCCACTGTGAGATCCAGGAAGATGGACTAGATGGGCCCTTGGCCTGATCCAGCAGGGCAATCCTTATATTCTTATGTAAGGTTCCTAGATGATAAGGCTGTAGATATAATACATCTTGATTTCATCAAGGCTTTTGAAAAAGTCTATTCTTGTTGCCAAGTTGGTAAAATATGGGCTAGGTGACACTACAGTTAGGTGGGCTTGTAGCAGACTAATGGGCCATACTCAAACTGCTGTTCAATGACTCTCTGTCATCCTGCAGAAAAGTGACAAGTGAAATGCCACAGGATTTGGTCTTAGGCCTGTTGTTGTTCAACATCTTTATAAATCACTTAGATGACAGTGTAGAAGGGATGTTCATCAAATGGGCTGATGACAACAAACTTGGGATGGAGGAGGTCCTATTATCACAAAAGACTGAATCAGGATGCAAGGCAACAGAAGCAGATTGTTTCAGCAGGGAAAAATATAAAGTTTTACACATAGGCATGAAAACATATAGGATGGGTGACACCTAGCTTGGAAGTAGTAGTAGGATTTAGGGCAAAGGAGATGAGTATGTTGTGGCATTCACCCTCGTGCCCCTTGCCTGACCCTCCAAACACAGAGCACACAAAGGCAAACTACTACTCCTTTCCACCCGCTGCCACCAGGTGATCACTATATCAACATTAATTATGGAAGGATGAAGATCCAGGTCCAAACTTCACTGTCTTTTAAATAAAATGTTTTTATTGATTACAGATATCTGAATATTAATCATAGGTAATTTCTATTATCAATCTCAACCTTCTATCTGTCATTACAGTTCTTATTCACTTTTCACTCTAATCATACCTCAGATCTCCCAAATACCACACTCTATTCCCTTCTCCACTCTCTCACTCTGACTCTGACTGACTTACTCTCTGACTCCGCCGCTTTTATTACATATCTCTCGGCTCCGCCTCTCTGCAACATTAGCTTGAAACATGAATATTCATAACTACTTAACATAATAGGGGTGAACGCTACATATGTTTATTTTGGAAAACAGAAAACTGAAGTATGATGTGACAGCCATCTTTAAATATTTGAAGGGTTGTCATGGGAGATCAAGGAAACATATTTTTTCCAGCTCGATAGGTAACAACCCTAAAGTCCTTTTGACTGAAAAAAATTGTGATTGAAAAATTGTAATTAATTGACAAATAATTAGGAAGAACCTCCTCACTGTGAGAGCGAATTGAATCTGGAATAGACTCCTTCAGAAGGTGCTGAACTCTTCTTTATGAGGCGGGGGGTGGGGGTTAAGCAGAGGCTGGATGGTCTTCTGTCAGAGATTATTTAATTACAGATTTGCTGCTTCATCAAAGAGTTGGACTCAATGACTCTTCAGGTCCTGTCAAATTCTACAGTTCTGTGATTATATGATTCTTTCCATTCCTTTCGAAAGTCATATATAATGCCCACTTAATTGTGATCTTATTGTTTTTGGATACATAGTGTAATTGATAGGATTAAGCTAAAATTCAGTTTAAAAAACTAAAGCTATGTCTATAGCAACAAGATTAGGGGTCGATTATTTCCCCAATGTTGTTTAACATCTGTATGAGGCCGCTGGGTGGGGTCATCAGGGGGTGTGGAGCATCGTGTCATTAATATGCTGATGACACCCAGCTCTACATTTCCTTTTCACCAACTGCAGGAGATGCCGTTCTGTCTCTCCAGCGCTGCCTGGGGGCCGTACAGAAATAGATGCAGGAGAACGGGCTGAAGCTGAACCCGGACAAGACAGAAGTTCTGAGGGTGGGTGATCCTGTGGATGGTGGCTTGGTAAACTCCCTCATGTTTGGGGGGGTGGCCCAGGCTGCCAAGAGTGGGGTCCGCAGCCTGGGGGTACATCTAGACCCGATGCTCATCATGGAAACGCAAGTGGTGTCAGTAGTCTGCACCGCCTTTTTCCACTTTTGGCGGATTGCCCGGCTGCGACCTTACCTAGACACGGGGGCGCTCACTACCTTAGTACATGCGCTCATAATTTCTAGATTAGACTACTGTAACGTGCTCTATGTGGGGCTTCCTTTGAAGCTGATGCGGAAACTTCAAGTGGTGCAGAATGCAGCGGCCAGACTCCTTACTGGAATGAGAAAATATCAACATAT